GTGAATATAAAACTTGATGAAATAGGTTACAAGCTTTCAGAGGTTGGTGAAAGATAATTTCTTGAAAATGTTAAACTAACGTTTTCCATAAGTCTTTATCGATAGAATACCGTAAGAGATTCTGATTTATGAATCTATCTATAAACTTGTCATTAGATGCTAACAAAAATGACTATCTAATCTTTATCACTGATTACAATTAACCATTTTTGAGTGATAATAAAAGAATGTGAACTAGATCAAGACTATGAAATAAACAACGGTGATATTAGTTAGTAATCAACCAGTGTAAATATCTCAGTCCTTCAGAAAGACTATCGTGGCCCAAAGAGTTCACTAATAACTTTTCATACTGAGGAATCGAATAATCTGTACTGGAATCTGGATAGAGAATGCATGTGGGCAGACTATGCTTCTCTGTGAGGGGTAACCAATGTCAGTAAGTAAGTACTCAAACACCTAATGTGAAGCAGTTTTCTTGACATTACAGAAATGTTTACTTCCTATTCATACGAGATATTATGAAAATTAGGTTGAATAGGGTTTCCTGTTTAATACCTTCGAGCTTTCAGTAGTTTTCACCACATTATTTGACTAATCACTAAAAAAAAATAAAGGCACTGAATATCTGTTTTATACTACTTTGGAATTTTTCAGTAGTAGATATACATTAACAACACTCAGGATTGAATTGATAATACCATAATACCATAAGGGCGGTTACTTGTAATCTAATGATCTTGATTTTCAGCTTCGGTCAATCTACAACATAAAACGATGATTATGCAACACCATTGGTAGGAAAGTAAGCCTAACATTGAAATGTTCAAACCTCAACAGTTACAGCTTTTCACTAGAACTTTAGGAATATTGAAGTTATCTCTGATATCTACGTAAATATTGCTAATTTTGGGGGCATCTTGTCCTGTAGACCATGATCTTCATTGCTTACTGTCGAGCTTCAACCTGTCATTGTTTACTTCTTTGTTTTGGTTGTATCTCCCATTGATTTGATTCTTGTTCCTACATTTGTGCATAATTTTCCTGATTGGTTGATAAATTTGATCGATTTCAATGTGTTTGTTGCTTGCTGATTGACCTGATTGCCAGGCTTCTAAAAATTCTCTGGTGATTTTGGAATTGCCTCTATCCAAAATCTCCACATTTTTCCAATCGAATGAGTGTCTGCAATTGTCCACATACATTGATATAAGTGAGGACATGTTATGGCGTTTGACTGTTAATTGATGTTCATGTAGGCAAAGATGAAGCGGGTATCCGCTTTATGACTTTTTATCTACACTGTACATTTAAACATACAAACGTATAGATTTTCACTATATTAGAATTGTAACTGATTAGTGTCTTTTTTAACCTACTCTGGGAGACAACAAGCCAACCAAATTAGAAAAAAAAACAAACATTAGAAGTGCATAAGATACACATTGAGGGAATCATCAATCTTCATCACGAAGCAACCTTTAAATCGGAATCGTGAAGAGAAATAGAAAACAGGAAGACTAAAGAACACACTGAGTTGAGAATTGGAAGCACACATGAATAGAATGAATAGCAACTCAACAGGACAGTCCAGGAATGAGTTGAATGGAGAATACTGGTGTACAGTTTATTCTCTTCCACAGAAGGTGTGTGTGGGGGGGGAGGGAAACAGGTGTAAGTAAGTATCGTAACTGACATTGGAATCCAAGATGCTTGTTACTTGCTATTCCATAATTACTAGAATGGGTTTTGTGGAGAATTGGTAATTTCAATAATTGAAATCATGAATCAATTGAAGCTAGACCACCATGGAAAACCTGGAAGCACTGGACAGCCGTTTCGTCCTAGTATGAGACTCCTCAACAGTGCGCATCCATAATTGTTAAATACAAGATCATATCATAACAATCCATTTCAATTGAATACATAGTAACAAAAAAACTAAAATATACAATAACATTTATCAAATTGACAACAACAAAAAAAAAGAATAAGTGTACTGGTTAAACAAAACGAAAAACTAAAAATTTTATAAAACTTTAAGAAAAGAAGATTTAACCAACAACAAAAAATAAACCCCAATGAATTTTTGTTAAGTATGTACTTTGTGTTAAATGAATGCATCTTAAAATAATAAAACAGCTGACATAAATCTATGACATTACCGTAGATGGCATATTGACATACAATTTGTATCCTAGTTACATAATCATGTTTGTTTGTTTGTTGTTTAGTGCATCAATATGTGTAACCTTTAGATGTACAAAAAGAGACAACGAGAGAGAGAGAGAGAGGGGGGAGCGAAGGACTATAAGTTGTTTGTTTAATAATAATAATAATATGCTATAATTGGTGATTAGTACAGCATTCATTCATCACCTAATCCTCTCTCGCTCTCTCTTTCTCTTTCACGTATACATTCACACATATACACATGCATACATACCTACATACATACATACATACACACACACACTTCTTTATACTTTGTTTCATTCAATTTATACACAATTCTACAAATTGGTCTATTCTTTACCCTCTATTCATTTGTAACTGTCATATATAATCGTTGATATTTTGTCACAAATGTTGTTCATCATCATCATCATCATTTGGTTACCTTTATCAATTTTGTTGTTGTTGTTGTTCCATATACAATTAGTAATTACAATTATGAACATAATAATAATAATAACAACAACAGTGAATAGGTTATTGTCAATGGTCTAGATCCACTTTAGTTGTTTCATATATAAAAATCTATGGTAAGAACATAGATGTATACTCTATGGGACAGAAACTTGGAGAACGACTAAAGTCATTATCTAGAAGATACATGTGTTTATTAACAGTTGTCTATACAAAATACGTCGGATCCGTTGGTTAGATACTATCAGCAACAACCTACTGTGGGACAGAACAAATCAGATCCTAGCAGAGAAGAAAATCAGGAAGAAGCACTGGAAGTGGATAGGACACATATTGAGGACCCAACTGTATCACAAGACAAGACCTCATATAGAATTTTCAAGGCCAAACTAGGAGAGATAGACCAAACAACACATTACGTCAGGAAATAGAGATAGACATGAGAAAAATGAACAAGAATTGAATGGAACTAGAAAAGAATGCCCATGACAAAGTGGATTGAAGAATACTGGTCAGTGGTTTATGCTCCTCCATTGGGAGTAACAGGCGTAATTAACTAACTAAGTAAGTAAGTAATTATCGATAACCGTATAATCGGTTATTTAATAAATGTTATTCCAATGAAAGTTTAAAGTGAGAAAAACGTAACAACAATAATAGTCTATTCTCTTTAAAGAAGGTTACAATTGAAGGATCTGTTACTGTACATGGAAATAAAGTTAACAAGATTTGAATGTATTAGCTAGTCACTTATTCAGTATATCTGTATACAGTTTATCACTAAGCCTAATATTAAACTGGTCAGTTATTTAAACTAGAGAACTTAAGCATTTAACTGAGTGGTAAATGTAGTGAAGTTTAGTTAGCTGAATACCTTTAATAATGATCAAGTACAACAATAAATAATTCAAATAAGACTGATATTTCACTTGGCATTGTTTTATTTGTATCTTTCTATTGTTATTTAGGACTGCAATTGATCAGTTTCATGTTAGCATATGTACATATGTGGATTTGAGTCCCGGAGTGAATATCAACTCAGGTACATCTGGTACATTTAGTTGGAGAGTACCAAATAGGACGAAAAGCACGTCAAAATGGATTCCATTGCTAGCCACTGTCCATCTTTGCTTAAAAAGACTTTTATTTATTTATTATTTAAACACATAAATATTTGTATAAAGGGGTACCGAATACGTATACGCACCACACAAGTCACCTGATTTGTGTGTGAACTGTGGTACTTCTCGGGTGCCCAGACCGAAGCAGATGGTTTTCTTAGGGGGCCACACCCGGAGCCTTTGACTTAAAGGTTTAATCTATAAGGTAGTGAAGCAACGTTAGGAGATGCAGTCCCATCGTAGTCGGCGACCAACGGTTGGTTCATACTCCATTTGTTCCTTCAGGGTCCTGGAGACCATGTTTATCATGAGTTTGGGATCAGGGTTTTCCAAATCATGTAGGTGGATCCTCAATACCCCCACTGGACATTAGCTTTTTTCCCCTCAATTTCGTAAACCACAGTAATGCCACGAGAAGGTAGTGAGTAGGACTCATGAATTCAACTATAATTTATTACTGTCGTATCATTTTCTGTCCTTAAATTAGTTAGAAACTTGTTATTCAGAGTTATGTTCATGGTCCATTGTGATCTACTAGTTAATATACACGATGATGTAAATTTTCAGAGTTCATAATACAGAAACTAAATTAGCTAACTTTTCTCATTTTGTAATTGGAATTTTGTTGGAGAGATCCAAAAAACTCCTCGAAGAAAGCCAAAAAAGCTCTTAACAAACACTAAGAAACATCTTATCCAATTGGCATTCAATAGAAGTTTAGCGAGAAACATCTATAAATTGACAAGTCACATGTTGCGTTTCTTATTGGATGATCACCTATATTACTACTACTACCACTACCACCACTATTACTACTATCACCACTACTACTACCACCACTACTACTACTGCTATTACTATTACTATTACTACTACTATATTTAGTGGCGTTACAGAAATTTCCAGAAGCCCAATGCCATCTAAAATACTATAAATACCCTTAGATATTCTATTGAAAAACAAACTTTTGGAATGAAGCTTTTCTTCCATATTTCACGCCTTTTCTCTTGTGTTCAAGTTACTGTATAGATTCAGCCTTGGGGTTCCTAGAACAGTATAGGAACCAAATCTAGCATTCAATTAGCAAGACTTATCAGTTATGAGAATGGGAGAATGTTGAGTAAGTCAATCAGAGTTAGCTTATCTAATCAATAAATCAGAATCATTCAATATAATACAATAATGTTCGATCAAAATATTCATATTGATTAAATGTAATATACTACTTACTAAATCCATCCATATAATTGTTGTCAATACTTGATTTTTTTCATCCTAAATATTAAATTAAATTAAAAAGAACAATAAATGATATTTGCAATACAAAAAGAGAAGAATAATAAACGGTTCATAGAAATGGTTTTCATATTCTGTATATGACCTAATACAAGTCTATTGTAGATTCTACTTTCAAGTTGTCCCTATGTGTTATTCATTCTTTCAATGTCTGTCTCTTGTTTCGGGTGTAGCGTATCTTTTGGTTCTTTCTTTTACCATGAGAAGTTCAAGTTCGAGGTTGCCTTATTGATGTAATTTGATGATTTCAGCGGTTTGTTTGTTCTCTGCCATGGTAGACCATTGATGATGGTATCTGGTCAATGGATCCGGAGTATCCCGCTTAGACATCTGTTTGTAAATATCTATATCTTTTTGATGATGATATTAATGGTAGTAAGGTCGCTGCCCACTATGCTGTATTTTAGAACCTAGATTTTTCCTTCGTGTATGTCGAGACCTAAGGCTGCAGTGGGTGCTGTACAGTGGTTGTCTTCACCTACATTTGTTAGCGTATGTAGGAAAGAAGGGATAAGTCATCTATGGAGTCCAAATTGTCTAATTGTATCCATACTGTCCATTGTATTTCGTGCTTCCCCACAGATGTAATGGTCTTCATAATTCAGTCAACCACCAAAAATAAAGAGAAAGGGAGTGAGTAAGAAACCTTGTCTGACACAGGTCTTCACTTGGAATTCATCTTTTAACGAATATTTTTTTCATGCATATCAGTAGTCTGCTCAGAAAATATTCACTTCAGTAAATAATTTTTTACTCTAAACATCTGTCGAGCACATAGAACATTCATCAAAAATTGGAAGAAATAACTTGATTGAAAAAAAAACATGTGGTGACCTGTTCTCAAACTTATGGACCACTAATTTTCCAATTGTTGAGATCATGAGTCAATTGAAGCTAGAACACCATGGAAAACCTGGAAGCACTGGACGGCCATTTCATCTTATTGTGGGACTCCTCAGCAGTGCATATCCACTATCCCGCCCTGCGGGATTTGAACCCAGGACCTACTGGTTTCGCGCTCGAGAAATTAATCTCTAGATCACTGAGCTAACCGGAATTCAACGGTGTTAATGCCTAACTTCAATTTGTCAAAAGAAATTTCACGAATACTGAAACATTTAGTCGATTCATCCAATCACTCCATCAAATCCCCTACACAATTTATGGACCAAATTAAGAACATTCAAATCAACAACGACGAACTGATGATATCCTTTGATGTAACAGCATTATTCACCTCAATTGGACCAAGGTTAGCAAAAGAAACTATATCCCTGCTCCTCGCCAACGACACAAATCTCACAAAGTACACGAGGCTTCAAATTCAAAGTCTACTAGAACTCATCGATTTATACCAAACAACATATTTTCAATTCAACAACAAAATCTTCGAACAAACGAAAGGGACACCAATGGGGTCACCAATATAAGGACTGATCGCAGAAGCAGTGATGCAAAGACTAGAAGCCGCGATATTACCAGTGATCAAGCCAAAAATTTGGATTCGCTATGTAGACGACACATTCGTCATCGTCAAAAAGAATGAGCTAGAAAACACTTACAAGCTGATCAACAACGTCTTCGATGACATCAAGTTCACAAATGGAACACGAGCCAAACAAAAAACTATCATTCTTGGATATATTAATCACTAGAACCGACATAGGAAAACTAGAAACACAAGTATACAGGAAACCGACCCATACAGATCAAGACCTTAACTACAATAGCAACAACCCAAGAGCACATAAAATCAACTGCGTACAAACCTTGTTCAAGAGAGCGAGGACACACTGCAGCACACTGGCGGTACGAAGAAAGGAAGAGAAATACCTGAAAGACGTATTTCAAAAGAATGGCTACCCAATCAACTTCATCAAAAAATACCAACCACATGGAGCATCAGAGCCCAAATCAAGCACGGAAATCAACAAACGGATCACCCTACCATACATAAACGGCATATCAGAAACCACAACGAGACTGCTAAAAACCTTCGGGATAGGTGTGGCACACAAACCGACAAAATCACTACAATCAATCCTATGCAAACCAAAGGGTGAAACAACAAAAGAAGATAAATCAAACATAATCTACAAAATAAATTGTGCCAACTGCAACAAACACCACATCGGACGAAGCGGACGCCCCCTCCACCTGCGCCTACATGAACATCAATTAGCTGTCAAACGGCATGATATCTCCTCACTTATATCAATGCACGTGGACAACTGCTGACACTCATTCGATTGGAAAAATGTGGCAATCTTGGACAGAGGAAATTCCAAAAACACCAGAGAATTTTTAGAAATCTGGCACTCAGGTCAATCAGCAATCAACAAAGATATGAAATCGATCCAATTTATCAAGCAATCAGGAACAAGAATCAAACCAATAGGAGATACAACCAAAACAAAGAAGTAAACAATGACAAGTTTAAGGTCAACAAGAACCAATCAACATCAAGGTGTAGAGGACAAGCTATGAGCCATATTTGGAGAAATTCGAACACTTCACTTCTATCTGAAGTTTGTGTTGATGATGTCGTTCAGAAGAATGATGAAAACTCCACGACCAAACCATCCAGCTCAGAGAACAAAACTCCATCAAAATTATCGGAATTTTCCCGCTTTTAAATTTGTTTAAATCAACCAATTACGTTTATCGATCGAATGTAATTAGGTATATTCAAGAAATGTTTTTGTCATGTTACAAATCAAATTCGTGAAAAGCTCAAGATCTACCATTAAGTTTATTCAAATATTTATCTCTTTCTCCTCTGTTCTTTGGAGAACCGAGTAGCGATCACTATAAAATGGGCATATCAAATATATTTTAGAATTAAAGGCGATGTTATAAGGACAAGACTTGATGTTAAAAATTGATCGATTACTAAGTAGTGACCTTCCTTCTTAGTTCTGATCAAATTGTGTCGATCAGTTTTCAATGTGGCCAATAGTCTAAGCGACTTGTTATTGCGCTCACTATATAGAGATGTGAAGTGATGGTCAAAGATAGTCTACGGAAAGCCCTGAACCTAGGTCTTATTTAGTTCGGCACTGATATACAAGATGTACGCGTAATCTTGAAGGGGCTGATGTTCATCAGCAAATTTGATTCCATAAATCCGAACATCATAGACACGGGATCGAATAAACCAGAAAGCATCATTATGCTCAAGATTAGATGTACACATAAGAATTTCTCCACAGTTCTGTGTCATATATATCGTACACATTGTATACCTATTGAGATAACTTGTATTTACTAACTGCATAATGTACTCGAGTGATCATACAAGAAGCTTACCTAACAATTGAGCCTAATATTACGAAAGTAAATGTATTCGATCAAATACAATTTCATTGACGAACTTCGCTCTAACACTTAATAATCACTGAGTAATAATCCATATCCATATAACTACAGTCCATATCACAACTTCATTGATAGTATTCAATCAAATCGATTAGTTATGATTAATACTTTAGTAGTAAAAGACATCAATCATAATCCGAATAGCTCATTGATATTGTGGTGTGTGCTACTGATATCGATAGATATAAGTAGTATATATTATCAATAGAAAGTGAAATGTCTTGTGGCAGAAGGTTAAGAAGAACGAGAACAAAGAACGATTAGTGTGGAAACAAAAGTATAATAATGAAGTCTTAGACGATTGATTAACATTATGTAAATGAACTATTTAAACTATAGTTCTTAGATTTTACTAAGATACTGTATAATGTTATGCTCAATTATATTCGATTGTTTCCACTACAGTATCATTAATGATCAAACACAAAATAATTGATTCCAATTCTAATCATGCATATGATAATAGTTTCTTTTAAAACTTAAGACAACAAATGCTTTCAACCATTCAATATTGAATTCTTCCATCTATCTATCCATCCATCCATCCAACCACCCACCCACCCATCCACCTACCCACCCCTTCGCCTCTTCTGAAACTCATCCCCCCTTTTTTTGTTGAAAAAAAAGCTTTTTTTTCATATTCAATATCAATTGATGATTTCTAATTTAAAAGTTAATCATCAAGTATCCTTGAAAACGATTCATCAATCATGTAAGAAAAAATTTTTTCTTCAAAAATAAAAAAAAAGAAAAACTTTTTTACTCTAAAATTTTATTAAAAAGAGAAAAAAAAGAGAGAAAAGAGGCAAAAAGAAGAAAAAAGAATGTTCTCTTGTTTTCTTGAAACTTTTTTTTTCTTTCTTTTTTCTTATTAATTTATGTCAAGACGATAAAACTGTATAGAATGTTGTAATAGTGAAACTATCAAGTGTTATTCACTGTTCAATTGGTTAGAACTCATTGACTTTATGATGTATATCCCTTTAGAAAAATATGTGTATATATATATGTCAAATAGAGATAGTTGATTAAGCGTTTTATAATGAAAGAAATGTATATAAGTCAATTGAAGCTAAACCTGGAAGCAATGGACGGTCGTTTCGTCCTATTGTGGGATTCCTCAGTAGTGTGTATCCAAGTAACCACATCACGAAATTCGAACCCACGACCTATTGATCTCACGTGCGAGCACTTAACCTGTAGAATACTATGTTGGCGTTTAACAGTGTGAATGTCTAACTTCAATCCATCCATGAAGTTGTGCCACTGTCTAACTTTGTCTTCAGTGAGTTACTATCTTATAACAGACCTGGTTGAATTCCACTGATCACTGTTTCTCACTAGAACCCCAGGAAATACTTCTTGGAGACCGTCATTAGTGAGCATATGATGATTATAATCAGAATGGGGTGTTTTTGATATTATAGTGATTTGGTAGTTGAATCTCATTGAATGCCGGCTCAGTGGTCTGTAGGTTAAACGCTAGTGCGAGAGACCAAGAGGTCTCGGAATATGGGATTGTTTGATGTGCACTACTTAGGAGTCAAACAGTAGGACGAAACGACAGTTCAGTGCTTCCAGGTCTTTCATGTCGGTCTACATTCAATTGACTCATGAATTCAACTACTAAATTACTAATAATATCCACAAAACCCCTCTCTTATAAAAAATATATACAATGAAATAATATCATCATCAACTTGAATTCAGTTAGTTAAATATTAACACGTTGGAGGTTCAATTTAAAGTAGATTGGAAACAAATAAGATTAAACTATCGTAGAAAATAGTGTTTGAAATACTTGAACGATCTAAAAATCTTCTGTATGAACAACTGCAATCTGTTCTAATGCATGTTAACTTATAAGTTGCATAATCCACATTGCCTTTGATAGACAGTTTAGATTAGTATCCTTTTTCTCCACTTAATTACTGAGTATCATTTGATTGTAGTCAACCGCTTTTGTATAAGTGATAAGAAGGGATTTGAATGTGACCAACTTGGTTTCGTGTGGTGTTACGGGTATGAGGGCTGATGTCACTTCCCCGCTGCCCACACCGTGGAAGAGTATTTCTTGAGGAACCTGAAAAGAGAATCGGATTAGTGTTGGTCCTGAAGACCTGGGAGCGTGACCGCAGAGTCCAAGGGACAACTGCTTGAGGCCGGTCGCGCACGGCCTTTTTGTGGGAGGTTTTTAATGTGTTAGCTCCGTTCTTCAAAGGGCCTTACCGCCGGAGATGGAAATCCGTGGGGTAAGGTGAGGTGTGACATTTTTAGGGTCAAAATTTTCTAAACCTTCCTTCCTTGTGAGAAGGCAGCATCGCTGCAGATGCTGGTTGTCCGAGGGAAACACCTTACTGCTGTCACGCCCCTCTACAGTCAGCAGTACGACTTCGCCATCAGACCGTGAGTTGCTGCTTTTAGTCTTACCGTTCTCTAATCGACCTGCCTGGAATGGTAGAACCTGCAGGAACATATGTTACAGCCAATATAGCTCGGTTGGGTCATCACGATAGGCAAGTCCGACCACCACGTCAAAGTAGCAGCTACAGTCGGGCAACTCAGTTGTTAGGAAATGGGTACTAGGTAAGGATGGCAAATCAATTGATGAAGTAGTGAAACTTAATCAGTTGAGATGACTGAGATGTGTTACACATGCTCGACCACCGACCGCCCCGACGTGCGATGTTCAATGGTATAGGAGTAGGTTGGAAGAAAGCTAGGGGCGGCCAGACCAAAACATGGCACAAATCCATGAAGTCACTGACAAGTTGACTAGGCCATTCTGGTAGGTATAGACTATCTGGTTGGGGTCCGCGAGACGATAGCAACCGATGGTTAGAGATCTTAAATGACATGGCTCAAAATTGTTTGCAATGGCGCAGGTGCATCCACTCTTTGTGTTCTCTCAAACTCTAATCTTCTGAATTCTTCACGTCCTTTATTTTTTTCCAAATCTATTCCACTGGACTATACTCCTTGAATAACATCATCAAACCCTAATGTTTTCGATTAGTGCTTATACTCTTATTACCTCTACCACTACGGGATTCGAATCAATAACTGTATCCCTTTGCTAATGTGGTATGGCAACTCTAAGTGATATACGTACGTACGAAGTTCCACGTTGTTACTGACTGACTGAATGTATAAGTGATAAGCATTTAGTTTAAAGGATACTGGAAAACGATACATTGAAGATTTTGACAGTTCTTTGAGTAGCTGAGAACATTGAGTTAAATCAGATTTGAATCTTATTTGAAATTGATGACATAAGCTTAATGTCATATTTCATCTTAATTTGGTGTATTATCATTTACACATCTCAAGTCCAGTGGTGAATTTCATGAAGATCCTCGAAAACAACTTGAGCAATCATATAAGCTTAATTCAGATAAAACATTGTAAGACTAAAAAAAATTGTGAAAACTTCATAAAAACTAAATGATTTGGAATTAAGTACCAGGTCAAACAGAAATACACTCGGTTTACTGAGTATATAACATACTTTTAAGTAGTAGTATGGTATGTGCTACTGATATCCACACATATAAGTAGTATGTGTCATCAATTGAAAGTGAAATGCCTGGTGGAAGAAGCTTAAGAAGATCAAAGAGAAGAGAACGAGAACAGTGAATGATCGATGTAGAAATGAAGGAACAATGAAGTCTGAGACGATCGATTGACATTTTGCAAATGAACTATTTACTGTAGGGTTCTTAGATTTTACAAAGTGATTCTGTAATATTGTATTCAAGTAAATTTAGTTGTAACCACTAATGTTCTCGTTCATTACAGTAGTATATCAAGATTAGGACCTGATTCCCTAGAAACACCAATTCCCTCAGTTTGATAAAACAGGCATATTCACCTTCCCTTTATATTACACCTTAGTCATTATAACATACCATGTTTGTAAAGTGAAATAAAATTGAAACCTTAGTATCAGTCACATTCTAAGTCTCTGTGATATATAATTAATCAAATCACTTCATGACTTGATCTAGAAATAGTTTACACAACGAGTTCATCTTCTGTATTATATATATATTCCATTGTACGATCTAGTTGCTATCAGGAATCAGTAGCTAACTGAATAACTCAATGGCATTTAAAGTGAACGGTACTAGGTACAATCCCCAGAAAAAACATCAACTCTAAACTAGTTACATCCAACTGACGAAGCTCTGATAGGACGAAACTCACATTCCGTCTTCCACTACTAGCTCCCAAATGTACTGGTGCGGAGAGTGCGCTCTTCCACTCGAAATGCTTTCACATAGCCGCGCGTATATAGCCTCTGCTAGGGAAGTCCTACTCACTGCATTCTCGTATCACGAGTGTTGTTTACCGAATTGACAGGACGAAAAGCAAATGTCCGGCGCTTTAACCGGGTTGGTGGGTACGGAGAGTTCACCTAGGGGAGTTGGAAATCTCTTATTCCAAATCCATGGTGCACATGGGCTCCAATATCCTGAGGGAACAAATAACGTACTAACCTACTGTTCGTCAATGGCTACCATCAGACTGCATCTCCCGATGTCCCTCCACTGACTTATGGATCAGACCTTTAGGTCGAAGGCTCCGGATATAGCCCCTATAAGAAAACCCCCTGCTTCGGTTTAAGATAAATATCAATAATGAATATCAATAATGAAATTTTCACTTACCACATCCATAACTTGATTTAAGAAAAATTTAACACTAACATTCAATGTTTCTGTATCATTTGCTGATGGACGTTCAATTGGATTATGTGCATCTGGTCGACTGGAATCGAATAAATATTTTAATAAACGTTTTTCATATAATCCACATAAGACAATATCTTTAAATAGAAAGATAAGAAACAAAAGAGAAAAGAACGTCGGAAAAAAAGAATATAATAGTTAAAATGAAATGATATACATAATCATTAAAAAGATTGAATAGTCTTATTAAGTAGTATCAAATGAAGTTAGACATTAACATCGTTGAATGTGAGTTCAGTGATCTAGAGGTGAAGCGCTCACTCTCAAGACTGATAGGTCCTGGGTACGAATCCCTGGTTCATGGATGCACACTTATGAAAAGTCCCACAATAGGACGAAATGGTCTTTCAGTGATTGCATGTTTCCTATGATGGTCTAACATTGATTGATTCATGAACTCAACTATGAAAATGTTATCACCTCCACAAATCCCCATAATGATAGTTCACTTCAAAAACTATTGTAAACATAAAAGCACAATACAACTATTCAACCTTTGTATGCAAAACTTCATTCGTACACACAAATCAATGATCAAGTCTACATCCTGCGTGTTTCTTGATTTCATAACAAACATCATAAACACAAATGTTGTAAGTTGTCTTCCATAGATTAAATTCTGTATTGTTTTTATAATCAATGTCGATGCTAGATGATCACTCAGTGCAAACATATCTATATACAAATCAATATTTATGGATTATGGAACAGAACGTAATAGATCTCTGACTGTGATGTAAATTCGGTGGTTTGTTTAAATAACTGTGGAACTTATTCCTACCATCTAGATATCTCAATAAGTTACCGTGATGAAAACCTTAAATCTAATTCAAAACCCCTAACCATTAATTGTAATTCATAATTGTAATTTCTTATATTCGTTTCTAACCCTCATTTAGTCTTAGTTATTAGGTCGACACCCACAAGGTCATGTTGTCGTCTCTCAAAGGTCGTCCATAAATTGAAGTCTTATTGAGAATTGAATATCAGTCAATGAAATACACTGTTACATACATACATACAGACAGACAGACAGACAGATAGAAAGATAGACATACATACAGACATATAGACAGACAGACAGACAGACATGCACACACATTTGAACATGCACAATAATGACAGGATAAATGAAGTACCGTTACCAAATAATTCGATTTCTTTTTTCTTAAATAAAAACAAAACTCAAATAGTTTGGAAACTTCTAAATGATTTGAGTTGTTTAAACGTAATTGATTACTCTAGGGATTGATATTATGATTGTGTTACTTTGATAGTGTTACACCATTAAGTATTATCTTAAAGAAAAGAAAAACATTTACAAAACTTCATATTTAGTCATTATTATTATTATTATTATTATCATTGCGATTATTAATGGCTTTATTCAATCTTCTATGTTTTTGGTACAATATAGAAGGCTTAGTATAATAGAACTTTAGTGAGTTTCTGTCTTGTATTTGTTGGCTGATTCTGACAATGATGTAGTGAATGATCACCAGTTAGATGTTCGCAACTCAAGAATCGATTTCTGAATAATGTTGGATATTGCCAACCACTGCGATGTCTCTAAATGAACTCTTTTGTCATTTATACAACGAAAGATTATACACTATTCAGAAACACCTCTGAAAAGGTTATGAAACTAATAAGCATAATCATGTGTTAAAAAAACAAATAAGAAAACAGATAACTTATTGAAATATTTAGATGGTAGGAATAAGTTCCACAGTTATTTAAACAAACCACCGAATTTACATCACAGTCAGAGATCTATTACGTTCTGTTCCATAATCCATAAATATTGATTTGTATATAGATCATCTAGCATCGACATTGATTATAAAAACAATACAGAATTTAATCTATGGAAGACAACTTACAACATTTGTGTTTATGATGTTTGTTATGAAATCAAGAAACACGCAGGATGTAGACTTGATCATTGATTTGTGTGTACGAATGAAGTTTTGCATACAAAGGTTGAATAGTTGTATTGTGCTTCTATGTTTACAATAGTTTTTGAAGTGAACTATCATTATGGGGATTTGTAGAGATGATAACGTTTACATAGTTGAGTTCATAAATCAATCAATGTTAGACCATCATAGGAAACATGAAAGCACTGGACGGCCGTTTCATTCTATTTTGGAACTCCTCAGCATTGCAATTCCATGATCCCTACCAAAGGGACTCTAATGAAGGATATTCGCACGCGAACACTTAAACTCTAGACTGTTGAACCAGTATCCAACGGTGTTAATATCTAACCTCAATTGATCAACTTAAATGCTAAAATGCACTTTCATCAAATCAATAAATGAATGAATTTCCCGCTAAAATCCAACACTTCTCATCTTAAATTTGATTGATTCATTCATTTAATGATTGTCTCATTCAATTCTCTAATCATAACTAACAGATTTACTGTTCTAGAACTTACATGTCACATTCAATGGAATAACAACAACAACAAAAAAGAAAAAAACAAAAAAAAAGAAAAAAACAAAAAAGAAAAACGAAAAAACAAAAAAGAATTAAACTTTTAAACAAAATGTAAAAAAAAACAACCCAGATTCAATTATGACAATAATTGAATTATACTATTCTATCGATATAATTTATAAAGAAGTAAATTATCCAGGAATTTTTTACTTGACAACAACAAAACACACCATACACTTATCTCTATGATGAAATCATTATAAATTTAATTATCTAGTGAATGAACTAATCAATTTAAGAAATGAATAAAATCTTATCAAAAAGAAGGGGAGGGCAGGTGGAGTTTGTAGAGATTTTAGTCATTTCTCATAGTTGAATTCATTTGTTCATTGAAGCTAGACTATTATGGAAAATTTGGAAGAAATGGACAAGGGTTTCGTCCTAGTATAAGACTCCTCAGCTGTGTGCATCTACGATTTAAACTATTTATATTGTTACGGATACGTTCAATGGAATAATTTTAGTTTAATGGTATGTAAGTTAGATTTAAGTAAATTACTGTTTTGTTTTAGTGTGAAAAGGAACAATAACCTTGATTAAAACTAGATATAGATGTGATTAGTTGCCGATTCAGTGATTTCTCTTGTAAAGCTTATATGATGTGATTTAGAAACATGTTTTCTGGTTTCGTATGGGTTTTTTTAAAACTAGGATCATTTCATGTTGTAAAGTATGAGAAAAATGTTGATAGGCGATGGCGTTTGATTTGAATTGTACTGGGTTCGAGTCTTAGAGTGAACATCAACTCTGAGATGCACGTACATCCAGCTGACGAGTCTTAAATAGGACAAAACGTGCGCCAAACTAGATTCCACTGCTAGCCACTATCCATTCATCTTTACTTATAATGCATGTGAATTAAAGCAACAACCAAACAATACGCACAGTATGCACCTATGTTAATAAGAGACTGATCTATTGCAATCTTAAACCTCAATGGGAAGATTCAATCAAAACAATACCACGTGAATGTCGATAGGTTGTTTATAATGTTTTAAGGGAATGAGAAAAGTTCTTTGTTTTTGTTATATAGTAAAAATGATTACCTTGAATCTGTTAAACAGTTTTTTATGCAAATCATCAAAATACATCACAAGACAACCTCGAACTCGTATTCCTCAAAGCAAAAGAAAAACTGGATAATCAAAAGATACACTGATTTGAATTCAGGGACAGGAATTGAAAGAATGAATATCACATAGGAATGACTGGAATGTAGAACCGACAACAGAGGAGGTTGAGATTCGCTGATTTATGGCTTGTATACTACGAGATGTAGCAGGCGTAAGTATGTATAACATGTAGATTACAGCTGGATGTAACATGGAAATAGGTTTCGTTGATTTTCGATTTATTTTAGCGGGCAGTTTGTGTCATCTGAAAGTATAAGCCTATCAACTCTATAGATAATCTTTAATTTTTCATTTATTCTATGGTTAACAAATCCAATAAATTCATTATCTCAAACGTAGGAATATATATCCTTGAGTGAATAGCCAAACATGTCCAATATCACAATAATAAGCGTCAAATGAATAATTGTCCCATTTAAAGATACATCCTACCTTCATTGAATTTGGTCGTTATGTAGTGCCGAACATCACTTTTATCTATTACATAGTGTGGGGTGTGCTACTGATTTCGACAGATATAAGTAGTATGCATCATCAACAGAAAATGAAAAAGATCAAAGGAAAGAGAACGAGACGAGAGAGTGATTGGTTTAGAATCGAAAGAATAATGATGTATGAGACAATCCCATTGTTTTCAGATTTTGTAATCTTATGATCAAATGTGTTTGATTTTCCCCACTAGTGTTCTCACTCACTACAATACTACTAATTTGCAATCTAACCAGTAGTCTAAATAACTCAGAGTTGTATATAATATATAATAGATGTTAAAAAAATTTGAAATTGATCTATAGGATACCTTAATTCTAGAATTCATGAATTCGTTCTGATTATTCTGTAAATCATCTTATCGATTACTTTTAACTATATTACATTTCAACAATATGCTGAGGAGTCTCATGCTAGGACGAAATAGTCGTCCAATACTTCCAAGTTTTCCATGGTGGTCTTATTGAAATCGACTCATGAAGTCAACTAGGTCGTCAATGGGCAGTGCTGAGGAGTCCCACAATAGAACGGAACAGCCGTCCAGTGCTTCCAGGTTTTCCATGATGGTCAAGCTTCAACTGACTCATGATGCTAAATATTGAAATTACTATAATATCGAAAAAACCTATCTGATATTATTCAACGTATGCTCACTAGTGACTGGCTTCAAGAGTTCTCGTGAGAAGCAGTGACGAGTGGAATTCAACCAAGTCTGTTGTGAGATAGTAACTCACTGAAGACAATGGTGGATGTGTCGCTCAATTTCGTGGATTAGTTGAAGTTATACATTAACACCATTGGATGCCGGCCCAGTTGTCCAGTGGTTAGGTGCTCGCTCGCGAAACCAGTAGGTCCTGGGTACGAATCCAGCAAGGGGCGAGATCGTGGGTACGCACTGCTAAGCAGTCACACAGTGGGACGAAACAGTCGCCCAATACTTCCAAGTTATCCATGGTGGTCTATCTTCAACTGACTCGTGATCTTAACCATTGAAATTATTAAATATTCTTTAACTATCGATTAATCATAATTATCTTAATCATTCATCACAAAAGGCAAAAAACCAAAAAGCCGAATCCAATTAAAACTAAGAAAAGTTACATAATTATTGAATTTATGAAGATGTACTTAAATCTATGAGTCCATTTTCATATGTATATGCATGTATAAATATACCCATGATACTCAATATCCGTTAACTGGACACTATCGGTAACAATCTACTATGGGAGAGGATAAACCAGAACATAGCTCAAAATGAAATTTAGAAAAGATGTTGCAAGTGGATAGGATAGGAAACCATCAAACTACATCATGAGGTAAGCCATAAGTTGTAATCCTAAAGAGAAACAGTAAACAAGAGAACTGAAAAAAACACATTACGTTAACAATTGAAAGCAGACGTGAAAAGATTGGATAGCAATTGAATAGAATTGAACAG